AAGCAGTGTAAAGTCAAAGAATGTTCGACCAACCGTTTATCAAAATTTTTACTCGGAACTATCACCTGTTATTGTAATCCAAACTAGGTATGGAGTGACATTATGGGTTGGGGTGTGACATTTACATTTACCAAAGGCAGGTCTATTTGACTTTGATCCCTTTAATAGTAAACGTTTGTCTGATTTGTGTCTTGCACATAACTTTTGAACTTTTGAACTTAAATTGACCAATTTCAGTGTTCTCCCCAGCCCCTTAAATATTAAAGCAAAGCGGACAGGAGGTCCTATCATTCTTTGCGTGGTCCCATATTTTTTGCCTGTGGTGCTATAATTTTCAGTCAAAAATTTGCATACCAGTAAAATTTTATACGACTTGTTAAATTTTATCCTTGTTGTATAAAATTCCAGGTGAAATTTAACCAGCACATTAGCTGTGATGAAGTAGGTATCATGGGATGGGTGCACTTGTCATATATCAAAGACAGGTGGTTCTGATCTTGAGGTTATGATAGTTATTTTTGTTTTGGGCATAACTCTGTTCTCTGGAGAACTTAGGCTATCCAAACTAAGTCAAACTAATTATTAGTTTGCAAATGCATTTTGGGAAAGTTGTGTCAATAAGATTATGTAAAAAAGTCTACCAATTTTAAACACAGATCTATGTGGAATAAAATATGAAATATAACAAGCATAGTCCATCCTTATTATACTGTCAGTAATTTTAAATGCTTTGGGTGTCCGATAAAACAGAGGCAAATGCAATGATTATATAGAATAAATAGCTGAAAGCCAAAAATCTCAAAACTTTGTTGTCTCAATACTGAATTCCACAGCAGCAACTGAAATGCATGTACAGGGGGTATTGGTCACACTATACAGACCGCTCTTGTTATTGATGTACAATGTAAGCATTTATCCCAGCATCAATAATATCTAACAAATAGTTCATTATAAGCGTCAAGCAAATAAATAAAAATGGCCTTCCAGACGTCATATTTATTTATACTAGAATGTAATATATTAAATGACATATAAACATGTATGAAATTGAATAAAAAAAATAAAATTTAACATAATTTTATCTCTGAAACTGCACAACTTTTTGTCAAAAATCAAACTTTGATCATTGAATATCCCATGAAGATTTCTTTTCATAGAGAAAACTTGTGTAATATACATTATAAGTTTAAATAAACAATAACATTGGTATTTGTTTTTATTTCAGCTAGATTCCAATTTTTGGCTTATCCTAGAAGTGACAAGACATACATGTACAATACATGATTGTATCTAGTAGCTGGAATGAGTAGTCACCACAATAATCCCATGACAGCAATGAAACTCTAGACCATTATGATGTTATGAAGATATATATATATATCAACAGATATGATCAAAGTACACAACAGACGACATGGATTTTGATTTTTTCCACTTGGCCACCGTGGGTAGAATTGTATCAAGTATGCAGATTTTTACAAGGTCTCATCATAACTATGATATGTCTGTGTAACTGTATGCAGATTTTTACAAGGTCTCATCATAACTATGATATGTCTGTGTAACTGTTACTACAAAGAGAGAGATACATTGTATTATTGCACACTAATTATATATATATATATATATATAAGAAGAACACCCAGTTATTAGTTATATAAAGATAGTTTGAATTCATAATGATAAATTGTGCAGAAACATGAAATATGTTTGTATGTATACTTGACAATCCAAGAGCAAAGTTGAATTGAACCAAGGAATTTTTATATACATGTAATGGCAATAATCGAATGATTTTGATCAATAACGATTCAATGGATTTTAACGAAAGAATATAAGATTAAGTTTCAAATCTATACTTACCATTGTGTAGTTGACATCCTTTCCTTAAATTTGCATAATATATTAAGATCCCACGCATTATTATGAGAAACACACAGACACTTATTAAAGTTATGTCTACACAAAAAAGGATTTGCGCATAGGTAATTCCACACAAACCATTCGGTGTGTTCGTGTTTTATTTATACTGTAAAAAGATGCACTCGATTAAAATCCATTGATTCGCTTCAACAAGTTTCCTTTTGTTTTCATGTCTTTATTCTTAAATTATCTGTTAGTATGAAATATTTGATGTGTTCATTAATTAATGTGTATATTTTTTGTTGTTTTGGAGAAGACGTTACTAAGTTGTAAAACTTGTGTCTGATCCATTTGTCATTTTGAACAATAAAATATGTTTAAACTATTGAACCAAGGAGAATTACTAATTAAGCAGCAGTATTTTGATTATGGAGTTTAATTTTTTTTATTTACTGAATATATATTTGTCACTTGTTCTTAATATCTAAGAAATAAAGAATATAAAAATGTAAAAAAAAAAAAAGACGGACAAAATTTTTGTGTAAAATTTGTTGTAAATTTAATAAATTGGACACTTAGAAGTACAATAATGTATAAGAAAACTAAAAATAAAATATTTTGCATCATTGCTAGGCCAACAACATCATCATTTTGTGTAATATGATAAACAATAAAATTACACCACCTACGATTGTTCCCAGTATTATTAAATTAGTTTGTGTGCAGAGTGACGCCTGCTGATCCAACTAAAATGATTATGTGGCATATGAAAACTCATACACCACTGTGGGACACCATAATTCTGATGACAATGTTCCTGCATAAGTAGCGTACGGAGAAGTTGACAGAAGTTAGCTTCTATATGTCACCGTAAGGTCTGCAACAATGAGCAAAACCCATACCGCATAGTAAACTATAAAACGCCCCGAAATGACTACTGTAAAACAATTCCAACAAGAAAACCAGCGGCCCCATTTATGTACTAAAACAGGCACAAACAGAATGTGGCGGGGTTAAACATGTTTAATGGCGCCAAACTTTCCCCTAACCTGGGACAGTGTTTCGATCCACAAAAAGTCATTCTTCTACAGGTAAAAACGATGATTAACATACATATTTTTAATCTATAATATGAAATCAAACAGACATAAAAAAAAATCCAATTGCACGAGTTCGCTATCTATTTATATCTATATTTATTTTTATATCGGGTTATATTACCGTGGGTAGTCTTCGGAGGTCATCTCGATGGTTAATAAGATGGCGTCTAGACTGAAATACACACAAAATGCTGAAACGTATTATCGAGTGCATGCATCGTGAATTGTTTATTTTATACCTTTAATAATTTGAATATACGTTTTAGTATCTTATAAATCAAATATGAGAATTTGACAGCTAATGCCCCTTTAATGTAACAAAAAATCTGTCAGTGTGCAAGTATGATAATTTGTTGCACTCAAATGTAATTAATTGGCTCTGAATTTCAAATAATTTGCCTAGGCGAGCACTGTGTTCTAATGATTTTAGTTATCCAATTATTCCCTTTTTCATTCTAATCAACAGCAATAGAAATATCTGGGTGCATTGCATTTGCGCCAATTTTTACAAAATGCAATGTTTCATTTGCACCAGAAGGTTATATGTCATTTGCACCAAAATCAAAACAACATTGCGCAATTTTACAGGTAATATATAACGGAAAACTTTAATTATACATTGTATCCTGAATAAGAATTTTGTAGAGTATTTACCCTGGGTAAATAAGTGAATTTACACTCATTTCTAATACAAATCTCAGAGTGACTTAAGTTTACAATTGTATAGTGTTCCCATGTCATCTATGTGCACCAAATGAGAATTTTAATAGAACCAACAACAGACCAGAATCGCCCCATGAACATTTAACTGAGCAATTTAATTCTAAACATCCATACTTTTTCATGTATATGTACCATGGACGTAGTAAAGAATATTCTGGTAACAACGTATATAGCAATGAGATCCATGGATACACCCGGCTTCAATTAGACGATGGAAGAAAGAATAAAACGACTTTTTTTTTGGAGAAATATAGTATGCGAAAATTTCCCTCCATTAGTACATCTGAACCGTGCTTACAAGTTTCAAGCCATAGCAGACTTTTAATTTTACTTCTTTTTTATTGCTTCCATTGTGGTTTTTATTAAAAGTTTTTGTTCAATATATCTATTATTTATACTATTTACCTGTTTTGTTAATGCAAATGAAATATGGTTTGTGGTGCAAATGAAATGCCAATTGGCGACAAAGCACCGAAATGTCTTTACCTATTAATTGCTATATATGTAATTATGGTATATCTAGAAAAAATAACTTAATCCCTGATAAATAGATATTTTTTTTATCTTACCAGATGTCTCCTTCATGACAACAGCGGTATTATGATATGCTGTAATTATCAAGATTTTTAATGGTCAGCAGCCGGTTGTACGAACGTGGCATTAGCCTAATGGGTCATTAAGTCTTCATTAAGCCTTTATGATGCATTAGGCTAATGAAGACTTAATGACTCATTAGACTAATGACACGTTCGTACAACCGGCTGCAGAACTTTTGTATTTTAAGGGAAGGTATTTAATGATGAATTTTAGTTTCTTGACATAGATACAGATTAATACCATGATTAAAGGGAAATTTGTGGTATACAAGAGACAGCAATCCGACAGTATAAAAAACCAAACAACATACACAAATCAACAAATGGTTTATGACAATACACATAGCAACTATTCAATATGTCAAGCTTTAAATCTACCAATGTCTAAAACAGTGTTGAAAATTGTAGCAACATATATAGACGGATATTATTATAAAAAACAGGTACAGACACACTAACGATTCTATGGATAAAACAACATGTTTGCTTTAAAGAAGGTGCTACAGAGCTGTAAAGGGAAATCTCATCTGTAGAATAGAAATTCTAAAAATATCAGCTCGCATGAAATGACAACATCTTTAAATCTTTTTAAGTCCTGATTAAAATCAGTATAAGTAATATAATACTTCAAATGATGAATTTGTTTTTATCTAAATTCACTGCTGTATTTTATTTTCAGACTAAGTCCTATAGTAGACAACATTGAAGTAAACAGAGCAGAAAATGATACCAAAATGGTGGTGTCTGATGATTGTATTTTCAGCCTTTATGATTCAAGCGATATCATTTGGTACAGCAGGAGCCATTGGATTGTACAACATAGAATTTATAGATTACTTCAAAGTTGGAGCAGCTGAGGTCTCCTTGATTGGTTCCATTAACCTTGGTGTTTTCCTAGGAGCAGGTATAATATAAGGATTTTAAAAATATAAAATTGAAAGATATATTCACCTATTTAACATGTTTAGAATTTTATATGAAATTTTAATCAGTTTAATTTTTCAATTTATGATGTAAAAAAATAATCAGAATGGACCAGTAGAAGACTTCAACACCTTTACAATAAATATTTAACCCATTTGGCCAAGGTCAGTTTGAGCTTTTGACATCTTTTGTCCTTAAACTTTTTCAAATATATTCTCATCTGAAAATAATGAACCAATTGAAATGAAACTTCACAGAAGGATCGCTAGTTAAAGTTCATTAATTTTATTGAGTCCAATAACCAACATGTTGACCTGGCATATATGAAATAGAATGCAAGTATAAAATGCAAATAATGTTCTAATATCTATAAAAAAAAAAAACCAGAAAATCTGCTGTGTGGCAAAAATGTTCTATCTAACCTCCCTTTGTATCCTTATAAGACATATATTGCCCATTACTTTAGTGTGTATTGCCTGTTAACTTAAAAACGAGAAAACGAAAGATCCTGTAAACAGCAAAATTGATTAGCAATACAAGATCTACCAAAATGCTACATGACTGAAACAATTAATTATAAATAAGAAGATGTGGTATGAGTGCAAATGAGACAACTCTCCATCCAAGTTACAATGTATAAAAAGTTAACAATTATATGTCAAAGTACGGCCTTCAACACGGAGCCTTGGCTCACACCGAACAGCAAGCTATAAAGGGCCCCAAAATTGACTAGTGTAAAACAATTCAAACAGGAAAACCAACGGTCTAATCTATATAAAAACCGAGAAACGAGAAACACCTATGAACCACACCAACAAACGACAACCACTGATCAACAGGCTATGGACTTAGGACAGGTGCATAAACATGCAGCGGGTTTACACGTTTTAACAGGCGCCAACCTTCACTTTGTCTACTTATAGGTTTAATTGACTTAAATGACAGAAATTATCAGTATTGGTGTAATTGCCCTTAAATAACTTTTGATTTACCAATAATTATACCTGTCTGTCTGTCTGTGTGTCTGTTTATTCATTATGTAGAACTCCACAGTAACTTGTGTGGTTTTGGATTTTGGCCCCAATGAATATTTAATATAAAAGTTATTTGCACTAAAATTCATTTTTGGATAGCTGGAGATTATTATAACCTTGAAACTGGATTCATATGAACATAAGGTTGTGTAATGTATTTATAATTTACTGTTTCATGTTTGCATTGACAGTCCATATTTTCATATCAGACATAGATCCAGAAATTATCGTAATGTTTTTTTTTCACTTTTTTTTAACTAACTTTGTGTGTTTACGAAAAAATGAGGTGAAAAGCACTAAATTTTTTTTATCCTTTAATAGTTAAAAGTCAATACTCTCTGAATAGGTATCTCTCTATTAAAAGTGATTGAAATTCTACTTTGAACCAAATCTTGGGGGAATATTTGACATTTTCATGCTCCTTTTTGTAATATTTTATGGCAAATAAATGCAGAATGTTGCCATGGAAACACAAAAAAGAAATTTTATTTCACCATTCTCACTATTAAAAATTAAATGTACGGAAAATACTGATATATTCATATGTACATGTATGGCACTAACAGATAACTTAATTTATTAGAAAGCCAGGAAAAGCGGATGGTTTAACATTTTGTGGGTCAATTTTTAAAAACTGTTCAGATGAGAGATTTCTGCTAATTAGAGCCTTTAGTACACTTATAATTCTAAATTTGAGTCTTTTTGTGAGTTCATTTATTTTCCTGGATTGAGGGAAACTAAAGTTTGTGGTTTTGACAGATTCTGCATACAATCCCATTGGAAATAGTTTTGTTTTTTTTAACACACCATGAACAATTATAACCCAATGAATCCACAGTTTATACTTTTTAGTTATTTTGTGTATTTATTTAAATGACATATTTACTAGCATGTCCTTATGTGAGGTTACTTAAATGACATATTTACTAGCATGTCCTTATGTGAATCTACTTAAATGACATATTTACTAGCAGGTCCTTGTGTGAGTTTACTTAAATGATATATTTAATTGCAGGTCCTAATGTGAGTTTACTTAATTGACATATTTTATTGCAGGTCCTTATATGAGTTTACTTAAATGACCTATTTACTAGCAGGTCCTTGTGTGAGTTTACTTAAATGACATATTTATTAGCAGGTCCTTATGTGAGATTACTTAAATGACATATTTACTAGCAGGTCCTTGTGTGAGTTTACTTAAATGACATATTTACTAGCAGGTCCTTATGTGAGATTACTTAAATGACATATTTACTAGCAGGTCCTTGTGTGAGTTTACTTAAATGACATATTTACTAGCAGGTCCTTATGTGAGTTTACTTAGATGAAATATTTAATTGCAGGTCCTTATGTGAGTTTACTTAAATGACATATTTACTAGCAGGTCCTAATGTGAGTTTACTTAATTGACATATTTTATTGCAGGTCCTTATATGAGTTTACTTAAATGACATATTTACTAGCAGGTCCTTGTGTGAGTTTACTTAAATGACATATTTACTAGCAGATCCTTATGTGAATTTACTTAAATGACATATTTACTAGCAGGTCCTTATGTGAGATTACTTAAATGACATATTTACTAGCAGGTCCTTATGTGAGATTACTTAAATGACATATTTACTAGCAGGTCCTTATGTGAGTTAACTTAAATGACATATTTACTAGCAGGTCCTTGTGTGAGTTTACTTAAATGACATATTTACTAGCAGGTCCTTATGTGAGATTACTTTAATGACATATTAGATTGCAGGTCCTTTTGTGAGTTTATTTAAATGACATATTTCTTGCAAGTCCTTTTGTAAGTTTACTGATGAGACATATTTAATTGCAGGTCCTTTTGTGAGTTTACTAATGAGACATATGAGTTACAGAAGAGTAGCTGTCATTGGGAGTTTACTCAGTACTATTAGTTTGATGTGTGTTCCATTTTTAGATAATATCATCTATCTGTATATTATATATGGAATCTTTACAGGTGAGGGAAATAATATTGTAATCACAGTAATATTCACTTCATTTGTGATGTCACTTTGATGTCATTAACTTGTCAAAATTGAACCGTGACCAAGAAGAGATTGTTCTCACAGGATTGAAGATAAATTGCTGAAAATATATTTTTTATTAAGATGTTACTCATATTTCAATATTAATGAGAAGGTCTCAAATAAGCTATTGGCAGTTTTTGCAATTTTACTGTAAATGGATTTATTTGTCAAATAGGGATTATCATTCTTTGAGTAATAATAAAAATTATAACATGATATGAAAGAAATAAAAAATTTGCTACTGTTGCGATTGCTTGGAAAATATTTTGGCTCTTGATATATCTCCGGTTTGTTTACAGGTTTAGGATTTGCTATGGTATACCTACCATCAAATGTGTTAGCAGGCCTGTATTTCAATAAACATCGGAGTCTTGCTGCTGGTATCGCAACAAGTGGATCTGGCATAGGAGCCGTAATATTTCCATTATTAGTACACAGTTTGATCCAGTATTATGGCTGGAAGGGGTCAGTTTTCATCCTTGCTGGACTCAGTTTACAATGCATTGTATTATCTGCTTTGTTATTTCCACTGGCAGAAAATCCAGACAAAAAAGAACTGAAGTTAGTGTTGACAAACAGCAATATACATGACAAACAAACAAATCATCCTGATATTGACTACACGAGGAACAATGGTAAATGTGAGAATTACAATGGTCACACATGTATATCAGAGAATGACAAATCAGTTCAGCAAAATTGCAAAGTCACAAAATTAATGGAAAATTTTGAGCCTGAAGCTGAAAAAAGATTAAAGCATTGCTATGTTTTATGTAATTTTTCTTTCTTTATTCTCTTTCTTAATAACATACTTTGGAATATGGGAGTTGCAATTTCTTGGGTCCTTGCTCCAGAGTACTTTGTATCAATGGGATTGACCAAAGAAAATGCAGCTACTATTTCAACTTTTAGTGGAGTTGGTTGTTTCATTGGTTGTATAATTGGTGGAGGACTGGGAAACATACAAAGCCTATGTAGATTGTCTATGTATATATCATGGAATATTGCATTAGGAATATTTTTAATGTTATTGCCGTTAAAAATATTTCAATCAGTTGAAATTTTGTCATTGATAATGTTTTTAAATGGACTTGGATTTGGAGGAATTTTAGGACTACTTGTCATTTTTACAGTTGACCTGCTAGGTGAAAAAGCTTTGGGTGATGGTTTTGGATATTTGATGTTCAGTAATGGTGTAGGATCTATAATTGGTCCACCGCTTGGAGGTGAGTAAATCTATAGAGCTATTATAAGTCCATGAATTGAGGGTAGACTATCTACAAGGTTGTTATTTATCCACCATTCAAGGTTGGTTGCCTAGAGATTTTTTATGGCCACATCTGATGTTGAGTTAATTTACAGATCATTTCTAGTCCACATTCAGAGATAAGTGTACATACAGAGCTCTTGTTAGTTTACATATTGACACTCCTTATTATTTGTAGTAAAACATAAAATACTACAAGACACAAGAAAGAAAACAATAATGACAGTTGCTTTTAATTTCCCAAGATTGATTAGATCTTAGATATTTGGAAGCTTTGATTCAATAGATTTATATATGCAATAGGAAGAAATAGTAGCACATACATGTAGATTTCTAAAGATATCCCCCAAAGTCCAACTTCATTAATGAAAATCAATTCCTTAGAAAAGCACAATAAAAAACTTTAAAAAAAAATACAAATCTTAAAACACAAAAAAGGGTAAAGTTTGAAACATATTTTACAATTAATTCAAGTCATACATATACATATAATTTAATAATATTTTCAGGAGCATTTAAAGATTCCCTTGGTACTTATGATCCCACATTTTTCTTTGCTGGTACATTGATTGTTGTTGCTGGATTATTGATGTTCCTCATACCAATAAGAGACAAGTTTGTTCGAAGACCAAAGAAAACCGCAACAGAATTGACGATAGAAGTAATCTCAATACATAACATATGAAAATGATCTCATTTGACCAGTTCCCTACTTAACTTGATATTTATCAAGCTGTTCTGTGAACAATTATTATTATCTATTTAATGTCTTTAATGTCTCGTAAGTTGAGGCTAGAATTGATAACTTTCCTCTATTTCTCATTTAATTATTTGAATTTGTGTTCAGCTTTTATGATTTTAATTATGTCTTTATGAGCATTTTTTTTTAATTTAAAATAGTTGGTATATTGATCTAGTTTGAGCTAGTTTTTGTCGTGCCTGCGACATTTATGTCGCGAAAGCGAGACACAGCGATCCTAGATTTCGGCGTCGGCGGCGTCAACATTTAGGTTCAGTCTGTGGTTGAAGTTTTTTTAGACATCAATAACTTTGTCATATCTTCATGGAATTTTAGGAAATTTGGACAGAAGTTTGATTATGACCAAAATATAGTATCCAGAGAAAGATTTTGAAAATATTTATTTTCATTTTGTCGTTTTTTTACTGATAAATGGACTTAGTTTTCTTTTTACATTTAACAAATAGATACAGTCTTGGGTTGAAGATTGTAACAAATCAATTTCTTTATCAGATCTTCATAGAATTTTATTAAACTTTGGCAGAAGATTTTTTATGATTGAGAGATAATGTCTGAAGCAAACTTTTGAAAATATATTTTTTTCGTTTTCAGTATTTTCTGATAGATGGACTTATTTTTTTACAGTTAACATTTACAGACAGTCTGGGATTAAAATATTTTGACATGATAAATTTGTAAGGCACTGGCTACGATTATCCGCAAAAAGTTACAATTTATTGTTACTTCCGAGACTAATTGACGAAATGTAAAACCGGACAGGGACCTGATTTCATACGAAAATTGCAGGTAACAAGAATATTATTTTCTATTGTTACCTGCAAAATTTTACATTACAAATTATGACTTTTTTGTGAGTAGCATCAGGATACTTTGGACTGTCTTCGTGTCATTGTTCCGTATAGGTTGTTTTACATATTTGAACAAATTTATATGAATAGAAAATTATTGATTGAACATAGTAATGATAAATTGAAAGCACATTTATAATAGAAAAACAAAGGATGTAGGGTGTCCCTCCATGACTCAAAATCAGTACATGCACAACAAAAAACACACAAAAATCAAAGGAACAGCGCTTGTATTGCTGTTCTTCATAATGTTTAAAAATATTTAGAATTCTTATAGGTATTTATTTGGTGGCACTTCCTGCATATCCAGTATGTAGCCGTAGTTGGCATTTTGAGGCCAACACATTTCATGTGGTACCACTCGACTGCAGCAGACTATAGATCCATATATATGCACGTCTAAACAGCACACTAAGCAGTTCAATTCTGATATGTTCTTCTTTAGCGATATCTTGTTTTGTTTTAGCATTTTGCCAGACTTATTGGAAAAATACATTTTGAATCAATTGAGATTAATGTTCTCGTCGAGTAATTTCGTAGAAATTTCTCAACTGGAACAAATTGTTCCTCTGAATAAGAATTGAGAGTTGTTTTAATAGACCCCCTATGGCAAAAGTGAACATCAGATTGGTCAATACATCTGGAAGTTTCATAATATTTGAATATACTTGTTTTGCGGGTTCTGACAATAACTGCAGATAACAATAAAAAATGGTATTATTGTTACATGCAATTTCCGTATGAAATCGGGTCCCTGTCCGGAAATACATTTTGACAATGAGTTTTGGAAGTAACAATGATTATTTCTTATTATTTCTTTTTGAGGGTAATCGTAGCCAGTGCCAATTTGTGAGCCTTCGTAGATTGTTATGAAACTTGGACAGAAGCTTATCTTCAAGACCATGAAATAACATCTTAAGAAAAAGTTTGAATTTGTTTAAATTTTGCATTTTACTGATAAATGGAATGATTTTTTAAGTCAACATTACACTTTTACACTGACAGCAACAATTGCAGGCGAGACACAGGGTTCGGTGGAACTCCTTAAAATTTTTTTTTCAAATTTCTATATTTCAAAAGCAGATATAAACTTAAGAAAATAATTTTGATACATATGTTAATGAAATCTTTGATATTATTACAATGTTTCTTTTTTTCATCTAAATAGTTTAGTCCCACAAGAACAATTGGGTTTCAATCGTCTAAACCTGTAAACAACTTTTTGGAAATGGCCGTTATCTTATATATGCTTGGGAATGGAAGGAAATTAACACATTTGTTTCAACATGCATACCTTCCTTGTCAAGTTTGGATTAGTTCTGACGAGTTAATGGACTGATAGCTTTGTTGGGTCATTGTTCTAGATCAGGTAGAACTATTAGTGACCTACTGATGTTGATACATTTAAATAGATTTATCTATTAAAGATAATGCTAATCTTTGTAATTGTGACATATAAAGTTTTTTTCCAAACAGTGATTGATTTATTGTGTATTTTTTTAGGCAACATATGGCTGAAAAAGGCAAAGGTAGTGTTGTTTAACATTGCTTGTCCTTGTTTGTACATCTGGGTGTTTTTTAGGGGAAGTCGGGGGTTGGTTGGTGGGGTTGTCTGCTGTTCTAACCAATATTTTAAGTTATTGCTTTTTAGCTCACCTGGCCCAAAGGGCAAAGTGAGCTTTTCTCATCACTTGGCGTCCGTCGTCCGTCGTCGTCGTCCGCCGTCGTCGTTAACTTTTTACATTTTGAACTTCTTCTAGAGAACCACTGAATGGAATGAAACCAAACATGGCATGAATGTTCCTTATGAGGTGCTGACCAAGTGTTGTTACTTTGTAGCCGATCCATCATCCAAGATGGCCGCCAGCGGGGGACTTAGTTTAACATAGGACCCTATGGGAAATACATACAAATGTCTTCTTTTAGAGAACCAGTGAATGGAATGAAACGAAACATGGCATGAATGTTCCTTATGAGGTGTTGACCAAGTGTTGTTTCTTTGCAGCCGATCCATCATCCAAGATGGCCGCCAGCGGGGGACTTAGTTTAACATAGGACCTTCTTGGAAATACATACAAATGTCTTCTTTAGAGAACCACTGACTGGAGTGAAACCAAACATGGCATGAATGTTCCTTATGAGGTGCTGACCAAGTGTTGTAACTTTGCAGTCTGTCCATCACCCAAGATGGCCGACAGCGGGGGACTTGGTTTAACATAGGACCCTATGGGAAATACATACACATGTCTTCTTTTAGAAAACCACTGCATGGAATGGAACCAAACATGGCATGAATGTTCCTTATGAGGTGCTGACCAAGTGTTGTTACTTTGCAGCCGATCCATCATCCAAGATGGCCGACAGCGGGGGACTTAGTTTAACATAGGACCTTCTTGGAAATACATACAAATGTCTTCTTTTAGAGTACCACTGAATGGAATGAAACCAAACATGGCATGAATGTTCCTTATGAGGTGCTGACCAAGTGTTGCTATTTTGTTGTCGATTTACTGTTCAAGATGGCCACCAGGATATTTTATTAAATTACGGGACCAATATTAAACCAAATTTGGCCTCAATCATTATTTGGGTATCTGTTATGATTTTTATCTATCTTTACATGATTTCTAAAACTCAAGTAGAGTCAGGTGAGCGACACAGGCTCTTGAGAGCCTCTAGTTATGTATTGTGTAGTTTTCTTTTGTAAGAGTCTCAAGTTTTTTTTCCATTTTACATGTAATTTTAGAGAGCTCTAAGAATGTACTTTTAAGGACAAATTAATTGATACATTCTAGATAGTAAAATGGGTATGTTTGTGTGTATTTAAATCTGGTGTAACCCCACCACAGTTTGTTCCTGTACCAATTTGGCAGATGTCTGGGCCATGTGTTGTTCATTGATGTTTGTCTTTGTGTCTATATCTGTTAGTTCTTTTTGTTTGTTTTTGTGTCTATATCTGTTTGTTCTTTTTGTTTGTCTTTGTTTGTATATCTGTTTGTTCTTTTTGTTTGTCTTTGTGTCTATATCTGTTTGTTCTTTTTGGTTTGTCTTTGTTTGTATATCTGTTTGTTATTTTTGGTTTGTCTTTGTGTCTATATCTGTTTGTTATTTTTGGTTTGTCTTTGTGTCTATATCTGTTTGTTATTTTTGGTTTGTCTTTGTTTGTATATCTGTTTGTTCTTTTTGGTTTGTCTTTGTGTCTATATCTGTTTGTTATTTTTGGTTTGTCTTTGTGTCTATATCTGTTTGTTATTTTTGGTTTGTCTTTGTGTCTATATCTGTTTGTTATTTTTTGTTTATCTTTGTTTGTATATCTGTTTGTTATTTTTGGTTTGTCTTTGTTTGTATATCTGTTTGTT